CAGGTCGGGGAGGCCCGCTTGGTGGCTTTACAAACGCAGAGACCGAGAGTAATCAGATAGGAGGGTCCGAACATCAAAATCCCTAACTGAATGTGAGCCACAGTCATGTCTCAGGCCTGCAGCTTCCTTGACAAAGGTCAATCCTTACGTCTGAACATCAAAATTCCTAACTGAATGTGAACCACAAGTCACATCTTAGGCCTGCAGCTTCCTTGACAAAGGTCAGTCTTTACCTACATGAGCCTGCCTATCGTCTTTTTGCATCTGTAAGATCATATAACATACCTTTGAAGTGGCAGAATAGCCCTGGCCGGTCTGGCTCAACAGTTAGAGCATCGACCTGTAGACCAAAGAGTTGTGGGTTTGATTTCGGTCAAGGGCACATACCTCAGTTGCAGTTTGGTCCCCAGCCCTGGTCTGGCTCTTGCGGGAGGCAGCCAATCGATGTGTCTCTCTCACATTGATGTTTCTCTCTCTCTCTCTCTCTTTCCCCCTCCCACTCTGTCTGAAAATAAATGGAAAAATATCTTCAGGCGAGGATTTAAAAAAAATAGAAGAAATGGTGGAATTATCTTTTGCCCCAGAGCCCTCGGGGCACCACCTCAGGCACCAGAACACAAGGCCACAGAACCCCTCCCTGCTGACCTACCCTCCCCCTCATGCCCTCTGTGTGCTGTGAGTGCTTCCTATCCTGTATCCACCAAGGAAAAAGAAGTATGTGTCTCTCTGTTTTACTTTTTCTTTTATCCTCACCCGAGGACATTTTTTCATTTTTTGTTCAGATAAGAGTGGGAGGGAGGGAGGGAGAGAAACATCGATGTGAAAGGGACACATCAAGTGGCTGCCACCCGCATGACCCAACCAGGGCCGGGGACAAACTGCAACCGAAGTACGTGCCCTTAGCTGGAATCGAACCCGGGTCTCTCTGGACCGCAGGCCGACGCTCCAACCGCTGAGCCAAACCGGCCAGGGCTCTGTTTTACTTTTATCCAAACTCAGAGATACCCTGCCCCTGCTTTGTTTTCTCCCACCTCCCTAATCTATAATCAGTGGATTCATGTAACCCCCCCCCTTACATCTCCTCGTTTGATTCTCATCTATAAAATAAGCTGCAAAACTGCCATTTTGAGGAGCATTTTTTCAATCAAATTCATTAAAAATTATCTACAGGTTTAACTTTTTTTTTGGTACATGCCCCTAGCGGGAACCGAACCCAGGGCTCTCTGGTCTGCAGGCCAGTGCTCCAACCACTGAGCCAAACTGTCCAGGGCTACAGGTTTAGATATTTCTTATGTCAACAATGGTTTACGTGAATCAACAAAAAACCAAAATGCCCCAGGATCTCTGGCTCTGGGTTGGAAGGCTGAGCTGGATGCATTCAGGAGACAGTGGCCAGCTGAGTCCAGTCATGTGGCATCTGTCTGCACGCGGAAAGGACAGCCTCGCCTGTAGGCCAGAGGCCCTGTCTCTTGCAGACGTGGTGTCCGTGGGCCCGAGGGGAGCACCTGGAGACTGACTCTCAGGTGCGCGTCTGCACTGACGACCCCAAACACTGACCTCTGTCTGCTCTCCTCTGAGAGGGCCCCTCTCAAACCAGGCAAGCACAGGGCCAACGGCAGCCTTGTGGGGGCCAGGGACACTTCTCTCTTACCCTTTACTTCTTCTGGCTGGTGAAGATTTTGGAAGACACAGCAGATAAGAGGAGAAAACCAAATATTTTTTTTCTTTTAAGAGAGAGAGGAAGGGAGAGGGAGAGAGAGAGAGAGACATCGATCAGCTGCCTCCCACACGCACCCCAACTGGGGAACAAATCCACAGTCTGGGCGAGTACCTTGATGGGGAATTGAACCAGCGACCTTTCTAAGCCAACTAAGCCACATCAACAGGGTGAAAACCAAATCTTAATACTTGTACAATTCATAAAACATAAAAATTACAAAGACAGTGAGGCAAACTGAAGTATATGCCTCCTTTTTATTGTTGTTGTTAATCCTCACCTGAGGATATTTTTTCTGTTGCTGTTTAGAGAGAGTAGAAGGGAGGGAGGGAGGGGCAGAGAGACAGAGAGACAAGCATCAATGTGAGAGAGACACATCGATTGATTGCCTTCCGCATGTGCCCTGACCAGGGCAGAGGACTGAACCTACAACCCAGTTACTTGCCCTTGACCAGGAATCAAACCCGTGACCCTTTGGCATGCTGGCCACTGCTCTAACCACTGGGAACACGGGCCAGGGCTATATGTCATTTTTGACCAAGGAAGGGGAGGTGGGAAATTCCCAGGTAGCTGAGAATGATCAAACATTTGGTAAATACATCCTTGCCTGGGCACCCACAGAGGGGAACCTAGGAAACAGACTTTGCTGGGACCCTCCCTGTCTGCCCCACTTCGTTCCATGTGCTAAGGCCCCCTTTCTGAAGCAGAGTTTTCTACTTGAATCTCTAGGCAGGGAAGGGGGAGTAACAAACTCTTCCTGAGTTTACTGGACTTGAATTGTTTTCTGTTCAAAATAGTCTGAGCCACACACCAGCAAGGGGCTGGACAACCTTTTATTTATCCAAAAGCACTTGAAAATGCTGCAAGTATTCCAGTTATCCCGTTAACAGGCAGGCTCCCCATATCCCACAAGCTCTGTGGTGACCTGCTAGGACACACAGCCTCCCCTCCGCCCCCTGGCCAGGGCGGGCGGCCATTAGGAGCAGGTTGTGTCTTTTGTGGCCTCACTAGCTTGTAATTACACACAGGTTCTCGGACTGGTTCCCTCACGAGCAGATGACACTTGTGAAGCCCAGGCTGCAAACCCCTGCCGTCCTAATGATACAAGGACTTCAGAGATAAGGGGCCAACATGCAGAGGCTGGTCAGAGGGCGTGCAGGGGGAGGACGAAGGACGGTCTCCAGAAGGAGGGCAGGGTGGCCAGAGGGGGTGAGAGGTTCAGAGAGAAAGAGGAATTAAAGTTGCTTCATTCGTTCACTCATCCAGTGCCAAGCACACTGCACGAGGTGGAGATACCAGCTGTGCCCACTGTCTAGCCAGGGACAAGTAAAGGCGCAACTGCAAAGCCACAAGATCAGTGGGACACAGTCATGCCCTGGGCAGAGAGAGCCGCCCTCCCAGGCGGGCGGAGGCTGGGAGGTCACAGGGAGAGGAGCCGAGCCAAGGCCCCGGGCAAAGAGAAGAGGTGGGGAAAGCAGGGAGTGGAGCCTGGCAGGAGTGTTTATCTGAAGGGCTGGGGGAGGGCTGCGACCACACTGCAGTCTCTCTAGGGCAGGAAATCACCCAGACGAAAGTGCACAGAGTCTGAGGGAGAAAGGGTCCACCCCAAAATGAGGGAAGGGCCCAAGTGCTGGGAAAGAGCCTGTCCCCATTTCGACCTCACTCTGGCCTCAGTTTCCCCGCTGTACCTCAAGGAGAAAGAAGGCAAAGCCTTTGAGCTCTCAGGATAAAAGGCTCAGCCAGCCCAGACCACCACTCCCTGTAAAACAGGGCGGATGACGCCTCCACTCTTTTTGGCTGGTGAAAAGCCTGATCATCTTTGAAGATGAAACGTGCTGAGGCCTAACGAGGAGTCAGTCAGCCGAGGTGGGAGTGGGGCTGGGCTGCAGGAGCCCAGTCACCTGCCCGCCCCTCCAGGTCCCAAAGAACCGGCCAGGGGGACAGAACACTTCCCGTGTCTGTCTCCATCCGCGGTGCCTCCCACAGCCTGGCCTGCTCCCTGCCCTCTGCTCTGGGCCACCCCCTCCCAGGCCAGGACCCACGCCCGAGGCTCGCGCTCCAGCAAAGGCGTCTGAGAGCCTCCTGGGCAGCACACTGGACACTGCCGCCCTGGGGGAAGGCTGGTCACTTCCAACATGGCCACTGAGCAGAGGGACGAGTCACAACTTCCTATATATGCCTGAGAACAGTCCTCCAAATAAAGGGTACCTTCACCCACCAGGTGAGGTCACAGGAGAGGCCCAAGGTGCCTGGAGGTCACACTCTTCATGTAGTGGACCAGACACAGCCCCTCTCCTTCTCCCAGCCCAGGCCCGTCGCCGCCGTCCCGCTCAGGCAGACCACCCAGGCCTGACCCCCAAACACCCTCTCAGCCCCCGAGCCAGCTCCCGGGTTCAAGAAGCAGTCGGCACAGGAGAGGGCCAGGGTGCTCACAGGCTCCTGGGGGGCAGCGCCTGGGGCCGGGCAGAGGCCTTCCCCCACTTCCGGGAGAGCTGCACCTGGGGGCTCGCGCATCTTCTTAATGGTCCATTTGTGTTCATTAAGTAATTAATTCATTTATCTGATTTGCAGGGTGATGCCCAAAGGTTAGATTTCTGAACTGTCAACATAGCCTCAGAGTGAGCTTTTGGAATGACCACTCCCCTAAATTAGGAAGATGCTTATCTGTATTCCTCACCCTAAGGGCTAGGGTGCTCACTGAGATCACCGCGCTCCCCAGGAAGCCAGGTTTGGGGATCCAATCCGAAGCCCCACACCACCTCTGCTTGGCACTCACCCTGGGGCCACAGCCTCACTATTCCAAACCCCAGGCCTGTCAGCTCTTGGGGACCTAACTGCCCCAAAGCATGGCTTTCCGGGAATCTGGGCACTGTCTGGAAGGGCAATAGGAAGAACTGGGGAAGGCCAAGGACTCAAGCCAAGGACAAGCATGCTGCCCTCAGAGGACAGGGTGCCTCTCACGTCCGGACATAGCCACTTGTCCTTTGTGTCCATCCCACTTTGTCCGCTCAGCACTGTTGCTCCCGCACCCTCTCTGCACAGAGCCAGCCAGGGAGACAGGTGCAGCAGGTCTGCCCGGGGCCGGCCACACTCAGCCTGCCGCCTGTGCACACAGCGCCCCGCAGCGCGGGACCTGGGCAAGGGCACTGATCACGGGCTGTGCCCAGACCGCGAGTGCCTACTCACCACCGGGAGGCAGCTTGCTGGTCTCTTTCCCCTGAGGGCCCACAGGGTGAAGGGTGAACAACCCTGCCTCACCTGCTCCCCTGGTGCTGGTGCTCACCTTGTGGTCTAGCTCGGCACTGGCCTTGGGCTGCTGCTCCTGGCAGGGTGGCGAGGGCCCAGCGTCCAGGTGCTGAGCGAGAGATGACGGCCTCATGAGGCTCAGGAGCCGGCTGAGCACTAACAGCTGGGGAGGAGAGCGGCCGTCAGTCCCGAAGGGCACTCAGGGACTTTGGCCTGGGTGCCTGGGCTGGCAGTGGTGGCTAGAGCATAGGCTCCAGACCAGACCCCAGCTTCCAGAACCCGGATCCAACTCTCACTTGGAAGCCGAGCGTTATCTGTGAAGTGGAGAGAAGTGCACACCTTCCCGAGAAGGAGGGCACAGTCACACGGGCCTGGCACAGGGCGAGTCCTCCCTCAAACGCGTGAGTGAGGAGGAGCTCCGGGGGCTGGGGTTGGACCCACCTGCCGGCAGTCAGAAGACACTCGTGGTTTAGAACCACGACCAGCAGAGAGGGTCTCTGCCCCCAGGAAGACTGCGCACCCTGAGCTGCTGCTCACCCTGGGGCCACTGTCCTGTGTCCCTCTCTTTCCATTTAACTTGCTCCTGTGGGGCTGAGCAAGGGCTCAGGGAGGGAGAGAAGCGGGGTGCCAACCGCACTGCCCTCATGCTGCCCCTGCTTCGCCCTCTCGCTCCCCCGTTTTCCTTCCAGAGAATGTTAAAGCAAATCCAAATGTCTTTTCATTTTACCCATAAAGAGCTTCAAACAGAAAAGGATAAGGATGCCCCCAGTATAATCATACCATTCTCTTGCCCAACACAATGACCAAGAATTCCTTATATGATCTAACACCTGTGTTCAGTTTTCTCCAATTGTTTTAAATATGCCCTCTATAGTTGTTTTGTTGGAATGGGGATTCCCCACAAGGTCCACACCTTGCATTGGGTTGAAGTGCCACTTAATCTGCTAGCTGCCTCACCCCCTCATTTAAACTGCCCATCCTCTCTGAACAAATGGACCAGTGTTCTCCACCCTCTGGGCCGTGGTCCGTGTAAGTCCAGGTCTGCAGCAGGCAATCCTTCCTGCCCAGCCCTGCACCTGGTTCAGGCAGCCTGGGCTAGCCCCAGCCAGGACCACCCAGCTGCCCCAGGCGCTTCTAAGGCACGTGCATCTGGGGAAGGTGGTGGTGCAGAGCGAGGGAGCAGCGTGAGGGGAGCTCAGAAGCGCGGTCTCCTCAGATGCAGTAGGTGCAGGGTGGCCAAAAGGGCAGGGGCTCGAGCCCCAAGCCCAGCTCCCTGCTTGAGCCCCGCCCTGCCCAGCACACCTGGCTTCCTCCCTCGGACCCACCCTCAGACACCTGCTCAGCACCCCAGTGGCTCTGGGCTTAGCCCAAAGGAGCAGCTGGGCTGAGGGCTAGGAGTCAGGCTGAGTCGCAGCTCCTGAAAGGGAGCCAGGGCTTCTTGGCTCAGTGTCTGATCCTGTCAGGAGGGCAGAAGAGGAGGCAGGGCGAGAGAGGGAAGGCTCTGGTGAAGAGAAGCACCATCTGGAGCTTCACCACAACCCAGTGAGCCGCCCTGCTCAGGCCCTGCAGTCGGGATGGTTTCCAGCAGCACTGCCTGCTCAGGGCTCACTGTGCACACGGGCCGCGCTGCAGCCTATGCCCAGAAGCTCTCAGGGGGGAGCCTCACCCAGCTGCACCCTCTCTGCCAGGGAGCCTTGGGCAGGGCTGGGCAGAGGAGCACACACAGAGCTCCGTGTCTTCCCTTTCACTCGGGGGAAACAGCTCCTCGGCTCAATGCAGCAAGCCTCCAGCTCTGCTCATTCCCTTTTGGTTCCAGCTCAGCCAGCCCCTCTCTCTCCAGGATAAGTTTGAGCTGCGTGGGTCCCGGCTGGGCCAGGGCCTGACCAGCACAGCTCCTTGCCTTGCCCCCACTTCTGGAAGCTGGCTCTGTAGACACTCAGCCCTTGAGGGCAGATGCCTCTAGGCCAGAAGCAAATGATCACCCAAGAAGGCAGCTTTCCACTGGCCTCAACAGTGTGCCCGGCGAGAGGAGGCAGGTCCGTTCCAGAGCGCCCTGTCCACACAGCCTGTCCTCCATGCTCAGCCAGACTGCCGCTCCTACTTGCCCAGAGGAGACGGGCCAGGATCTTCCATGGGCAACACCCCCGGGGCCCCTGCTGCTTCTGGGAGCCTGTACCCTGGGTGGGCCTTCTGACCAGACACTGCACAACTACCCCTCCCCGCTTCCAGCCCCGCTCCGGGCCCAGCTCCCTGCTACCTGCAGCCCTCTAGCCCACCCTACTCCACTCGCCAATCCTGACTGCACGACTTGTATTTCCGTGGCATTTATCACCGTCTAACATGCTGTGCGATCCAATTGTTCATTATTATTATCTGGTCCTCCTCACTCATTGGACGGTAAGCCTCATGAGGACCGCTGCGCAAACGCAGGCAGTGTCCCAGATGGAGCGCAGTGCCCAGCACGCGGGGCAGGTCGGATCTGTCCTCAGGGAATGAATGAACAATAAATGCATGGCCGCAGTGCAGCAGCTGGCCTTTCCCGAGTAGATGCAAACTGATCCCCTGGCGTCAGCCACTGGAAGCCCACGTTTTCCAAACCCCAACTGGAAGACGTGGCCTGACAAAAGAGGCTTGCTTCGTGCAAGAGGTGGCCTGCGACAAGAAGCTAACTCCGACTTCCTCCAAAGCTGCCACTGCACCTTGCCTGCCCCACTCAGTGCCTCTGCACCCAGCCGGACGTGCGGACTCGGAGCCCCTGGCCCCCTTCCTCTCACCCCAGGTCCCCTGGCTGTCCTTGGGAAATGCACCTGGGGTCTGGGCACTTCTCACCACCTGTGCCACCATCTCCCCAGGCCAAACCACCAGCAGCTCTTACCACAGTTCCTGCCATCACCTCCTTCCTCCCACCCCCAATAGTCTGTTCTTAATACAGCAGGCAGAGTAAATTAGAAACATTTTATAAATCAATTATGTTTTTCCTCTTAAACCCTTTCAATGGATCTCCACTTTGGCATGAAAGTCAAAGCCCCCACCATGGCCTGGAGGTGCTGGCCCACTTACCTCTCTGACTTCCATTCCTGCTCCACCCTCAGCCCTCTGCTCCAGCCACACTGGCCTCTGCCTTTTCTCCAACCTAAGAGGCTTTGCCTGCCCCAGGGCCTTTGCACTTGCTGTTCTCTCTTTCCCCAGAAACCTGTGCTCAAATGTCCCTGCTCACCCTTATAAAAATAGCATCCTCCCAACACTTCCTCTTCTCTTTCGCTGGCCTTGTTTTTCTCTATTGCACTAACAATCTGGCATGCCAAATATTTACTTCTTTCTTGGTCCCTGTGTCCATCTTGCCATGGACCATGAGGCAGAGACTGCATTCTATTCGGGGCTGTATCTGACTGACCTGAGAATTGTCTGGAGCATACTGATGCCTGAGGCAAAAACCCTGTGTTTCTGGGATAGGCCAGGGAGTCACACAATCCACAGGGGGGCAGCTGGACCCCGAGACTCTCCTGGAAAATGCAAGCCTTGGGGCTGTTGTGTTCCGACCACCCACAGAAGTCCTGATCCTCAAATTCAGCTGTCCAACACCTGCTCCTGCTCCCGAGGCTGCAGACTGCAGCTTGAGCTCAGGGAGCCAAGCAATGCCGGCGTCAGGGACTTCTGCCCCGTGTGCCCTGAGAACCTGCTGCCACAGCAGCCTGGATCTTCTTCTCCACAGTCAGTTCTCAGCCCTGGCACCCCTCCTCACGCCCAGCTGATACGGGTTATCGAGTGCGTGTGTACTGATGAAGGGTGAGGAAGGGATGGCGCTTGCCATCCAGGACTGAGCTCAAGGGACCAGTGGCACCTGCAGCGCCGAGTGGCAGGCAGGTCCAGGCCGTCACCACGTGAGAGCCACGGGAGGGCTGGGGAAACGCAGAGGGCATGCTGCGGGGTCCAGGGCAGGACTCTGGAGCCAAGGCCTCTGGGCTTGAACCCCAGATCCACGACTTTGCTGCTGTGTGACCCTGAGCCTTTTCCTAACCACACCTGCCTTGGTTTCCCCATCTGTAAAAGATGGACGATAAACAGTCCTTACCACTGGGGGCTGCTGTGAGAAAGAGGTAAGCTTTGGGAGGGCCCGGGACAGAGCCAGTGCCGGCGGCCTGTCAGCCACCGCTGTGCAGCTGGGAGCTGATGGCTGGGAAGGGAGAGGCGTCAGTGCAGAGCTGTGTGCAGGAGACGCTGTGAGGGGGGTGGGCTGAACATGGACAGCTGCGGGGCTGAGGTTGCCCTTTGAAGGTGTGTTTCATGAGGATCTGCCTGACAAGCCAGACTGGAAAGGGAGCGCCTACAGCCGGAGGCCTGGGAGGAGGCATGCAGCAGCCTGAGGCTGGCAGCGGAGACGGGAAACACAGGCCGTGGGCAGGCCTGAGCCGGTCCTTCCTCCCCTCCAGCCACCAGGCGTCTGGCAGGCCTTGCACAGCTGTACTGCCTGCCTGCAGACTCCTCTCTGCACCAGCACGGACTCAGCCCTCTAGGGTGGCTCAGGACACCTCCAGGAGCCATTGCACTGCCCCGCCCGCCTCGGCACACCCCCTCCTCTGCACAGCCGCAGGCTCCCGTTACGTACCCTCACTGCCCAGGCTCTGGGCAACAAAAACAACGACAAACAAAATCCCAAACCTTGAACTGACCCTGATGTTGAAGTCACCTGTGTCTTTGCAGTTACTGCCAAATGGTGCTGGCAGGCGGCTGCCACTGCCCGCCACCGCGGTCCTGGCCCTGGTCTCCCTGAACTCTGCTGACACTGTGCTCTGCTCTCCACAGGCTCCGTGACCCTCCTTTGGCCATTATCAATGCCTCTACCAGGTGGCCCTCTGGAGCCCTCTGGGACCACTCGGACTTGTCCCCCCCTGCATCTCTGCCTGTCCTGCCCCTAACCACTTGGCACCCCACAACACTGTCTGGTCCCTCTGTTCTTCAGAGATGTCTGTCATCAGGCTGTCACTTCTGTGAAGTGACCCCTGTGCAGGCCACTCCCTCACCCACCCCTCCCAAGGTCTCTGCCTGGAGAATGCTCCCCTTGCACACGTACCAGCAACTCACTTCCACAAGCATGCACGAAGTTCCCAAGTGTGGCCAGCACTGTACGGGCACCAAAGGGTAGCAGCAAGCAGAAGTCATTTGGTCCCTGCACTCAAGGAGCTGCTGGTGTGTGTGTGTGTGTATGTGTGTGTGTGTCGGTGTGTACATATGTGTACAGACCTGAACAAACAAATATGAAAATATCAGGCCCAGCTGGTGTGGCTCAGTGGTTGAGCGTCGACCCATGCACCAAGAGGTCGCCAGTTTGATTCCTGGTCAGGGCACATGCCCAGGTTGTGGGCCTGATCTCTTGCCCAGGGGGGCAAGCAGGAGGCAGCCAATAGATGTTCTCTCTCATCAATGTTTCTATTTCTCTCCCTCTCCCTTCCTCTCTCTCTAAAATCAATAAATAAAAAAAGAAAAGAAAATTTAAAAACGGGGTACTTTGGGTTGGGTGGTCAGGAAAGACCTCTTGGAGGAGGTGATAGTTCAGCCGGAACTGGAAGGATGAGAAGCTCCAGCCATGCTAAGTCCTAGGGGAGGAAGAGCATGGCAAAGAGGGCAGCCAGGGCAAAAGCCAGGCTGGGCCTGCTCTGACAGCCAACCCACTGGTCACCTGTCTGAGCTCTGTTCCTGCAATGTCAGACTCAGCCATGTGTCCACCCTGCCCCAGAATGTGCTGGGACATTATCTTCGCACTCTGGGCAAGGGGTTACACATGCTTGCCCGGTGCACCTCCAGTGACCAGAGCCCACTGCCTTTCCCCAGCCTGCCTTGCCCGTCTCAGTGGCTGAGCTGGAGGGCTCGGCTATGGTCAGCACTTCCGGGAGTGCAGGGAGATTCCTGGGAGGCTGAGAGCGCTCTCCCCTCCCTGCCATACATCCTGGGCCATCTGTGAGGAGGTTGCAGTCAGAGCTTTGTGGAGAGCAGAGGAAGGGGAAGACACACTCTACCTCCCCACTGCCCCCAGGATGTCTGATGCTGGCACAGAAAGGGAGCAGTTTCAATAGAATAGGATTTGTTTTCCACAAAACAGTGCTGTGCCCAGCCCTGGCCACTGTGGCTCCGCGGCTGAGCATCGTCCTGTGCACCAAAGGATCGCCGGCTTGACTCCCGGTCAGGGCACATGCTGGGTTGTGGCTTGATCCCATCGGGTGTGCAGGAGGCGGCCAATCAACATTTCACGCTCTCTCTCTCTTTCTCCCCCTCTCCCCCCCCCAAAATCTGTGAAAATGTATTTTAAAAAGGATGTACTTTCTTCTTCTTTTTAAAAGTGGTACACAGGGGCAGCAGGAGGAGGGGATGGGGACTCTGCCCCACAGGCGCGGAGCTCTGCTGGGGAGATGAGAGCCCTGGTGGGGTGGTGGTGGGGACGGCTGTACGGCAGTGTGAATGTGCTTACGGCCACGGAAATGGACCTTCAAACTGGCTGAAAATGGCAGAGTTTATGTAGTACATACTTTATCACAGCTTGAAAAAAGGTAATATACACTCCCTACTCGGCTCTGTCCTCAGAGCCTGGCACACAGCAGGCACACACAGGTAACTGTCCAATGCAAGGAGAAAATCCAACAGCCTGGCTGGCCTGGCCGGAAGCCCCGGACCTTTGGGAAAACCATGGGGATGAGCAGGCCAAGGCGGGGAGCTGTTCACTAGCCCCAGGCTTCCCGGTCCCAGCAGACACGGCGGGCAGAGCCACAGACTCACCTGGGCCTTCTCCTGCCAGAGCGGGAGTGTCTCCTGTTGGTTCAGCACCCGGGCAATGACTACGAGGCTGAGCTGGCCCCGGAGCCGCCTGTGAAGGAGGGGGAGACCGAAGGTGAGCATTCCGAGGGGGGTGTTGGCATCACGTGGGCAGGACGCCCATCAAAAGAGAGGGGAACACGGGAGGGCCAAACTGTCTGGAGTCCTTTCTCCTCTGGTTTGCAGCATTTATTTACTTTAGAAGCAATCAAACATGCATGATGGGAAAGTTATAAAATAAGCACAAAGAAAAATGAAAGTGACTGGTAATGTCAGAGGCCAGCAGAGCAGTGTTTTCCTTCTGGGTTTGTCTCTTTCTCTGTACACTTACCTGTGGGTCACAGAGACAGGAGATGACGGACCCTCTGCACACACCTGTGCCCCTCCCTCCTTCACAGTATTACACCTTCCAGCCCATGCAGGTTAGTAGAGGGTGGGTCACCTGGTGCAGTGAGGCCAAATTTTGTTGTTGTTTTTCACTCAGCAGCCAGTGACTTTCCTTTGGAGAACCCCTCCCCCATCCAGCCCAAATCTGGGCTCCCAGGGTTGGCACGTGAGCCAGGCCTGGCCCAACACAGTCCCTGTGAGTGGACTACTGAGCGGTGGCCAGAGGAGTCTTGGCTGGAACCAGCAGCAGGGTGTGTGCCTTCGTTTGGCAGGAGGTGATCCCATAGCTGCTGGGGGCCATCTGCTTCCTTGTGGGAGAGCCTGGAGCGTGAACCAAACAGGAGGGAGCGCGAGCCCAGACAGCGCCCAGAGCCCGCCATGCCTGAAGCCGCCAGCCCAGGACCATTCAATTGGTAGGTCAGTGGGTTGTTTGTGTGCCAATCAAGTCCCTTTCGCTTGAGTCATTTTGAGCTGGCTTCTGAGTCTAGCACAAACAGCCATGATTCATTCATGATGGGGCTGCTATCTCCTCTGGTGAAGACCTCTGGTGTGAATTTAAGGTACTAATGTTTAGGGGTCTGATTTCCAGTCTTCGAGGGCTAGAGTGAGCAAAAGAGAGGGAAGTGGAGACCAGAGGCTGGAGAGAGGTGATGGGAGGGGTCCAGGGCCCCTCCTCACCCAGGCTCTCCTGCTGCAGCCTCCACCGCGAGGTTCTATGTTCCACGCACCACGCACACTTGTTGCCCCCATGGGTGGCAGGTGCAGCCCCGAGCACGCACTTTGTGTGGCCGCAGTCTCTATTCCTGTGGGAAGCCACCATCGGGGAGGCAAAGGAGAGGTCCTGAAGCTGCTGGCCTGGACCCGGCTCTTCAGAGGAGAACCGCCCTCAGGTGACAGCACTGTGGAGGGGCCCACCGTGTGGGCTGACACCAAAGGGACAGAGGAGGGAGGGGACATGAGGACAGCCAGCAGCGGGCAGCACTCAGAAGTGACGTTTCCCTAGGGAAGCACTTTGGGGAGTAGGCTCCCCTGTACCCTCCCTCCCAGGGCCTGAGGCTGTCCGGGCCCCCCATGCTGCTGGGGACTGAGTGGGGCTGGGCAGGCTGGCATCTGAACCAGGGGCCTCATTTATTTTCTTTAATAGCACTTAGTCAAGAAAGTCAGAGAAATCAACAAAGCAAGAGGCTCTTGATTAAACAAAGAAAAAGGGCAGCAGCGGGCGGCACCACTACACTCCAAGATGAACATGAGGAGGAAGGGAAGGCCTGGGAAGGCCTGGCGCCGGGGGGGGGGTGCAGAGGGGCGCGCACAGCTGGTGGGAACGTAAAGTGGTGCCTCCACTCAGTAAACTGTTTGGAAGATCGATGAAGCTGTCCACATGCCTACCTCAAGGCCCGCCGTCCTCCTGGGCACTTAGGGCAGAAGCAGACAGACAGAGGCAGCACCCTGAGAGGGAGGGGTCCAAGACCTACAAGCTCATCCAACAGCGTGGACGGCCTGCTCAGGGTCACACGCAAGAGACCAGATGCAAAAGAATGTATGTGTAGCCCTGGCCACGTACTTGCTCAGAACATCGTCCATATGCCCACGGCTGCCAGTCTATCCCTGGGCGGGGACTACCAGAATCAGCCAATGAATGCATCAATAAGTGGAACAATAAACCGATGTCTCTTTCTTTCTCTCTCTCCCTTCCTCTCTCTAAAATCAATCAATAAAAAATTTAAAGACACGTTTGTATGATTTCACTTATACAAAGAACAAAAACGGGCCAGTACCAGCTGCTGGAAGTGAAGATGCCGTGGCACATGGTGGGGCAGGTTCTGCTCACGCTCCATTTCCCGCTCTGGGTGCTGGTCCAGGTGCCTGACTTGTGGGGACACACTGAGCCACACACTTATGTCTGTGTTCTGTTCTGTTCGTATGTTACGTCCAATGGCATTATCACTTAGAGAAGGAATTCAGCTGGGGAGGAGCGAATGTTGCTGGAGGGGTGAATGGGCCAGATCCCTCCCTCCAACACTCATGGGGGTGGGCTGGCTCTTGCCATATCTTCAGAAAATGAATTTTCTAAGACTTACACAGGAGACCAAATGGTCTTTTTTTTTTTTTATCCTCACCTGAGGACATTTTTTCCCCATTTTTTTGTTCAGATAGAGTGGGAGGGAAAGACAAGAAGAAACAGAGAAATATCGATGTGAAAGGGACATATTGAGTGGCTGCTACCCGCACGACCAAACCAGGGCCAGGGACAAACTGCAACCAAGGTAGATGCCCTTAGTGGGAACCGAACCCGGGTCTCTCGGGACTGCAGGCCAACGCTCTAACCGCTGAGCCAAACCAAACTGGCCAGGGCGAGAGTGAATGGTCTTTACTGGCATGGAATTACATTTCTGGGGTTGTAACGTCTCATCCCTTAGCCCAGTCTTGGAAAAGGGGCAGCTGTGGGCTCAGTTGAACTAGAAACAAAGCCAGCGTCGAGAGTGTCTGTTCCATGACGCAGCCCGGTCTAAATGAGAATCAGTCTAGATTCAGTCTATCAGTCCATTGTGTGCAGTCCACACAGCCATGAGCCACGTGGAGGGCGGGGGGGGGGGGGGCAGGGCCTAGGAGCCCCACAAGCTGGGAGTCCAGTACAGCAGAGAGAGAGAGAGAGAGAGGAGAGAGAGTGAGAGATTAAATATCCGGGTTTCGCACACTTGCAGCAGCCGTGCCTATTCTGGCCACTGACTTGCTCTCAGGTGTGACAGACAGGTAGGCACCTCCCACCTCACTCGGACCTTACTGGGCACGCTCTAAACTGCCTCTGTCCAGTCCTTTCCCCCATCGATTGTGTGGAGTGGAGCCAGTGTTAAACTAGCTTTCAGACAAAGTGGTATAAACGGCATGTCAACGTAAGTCTCCCCTTCGCTCCTTTCCTGTCAAACGACGACTAGATCATTGCCGTGGTATCGATAGGACTGCCAGATTTGGCCAGAAAATATAGGATGCCCAGTTATTTTTAAATTTCTTATAGATAAAGAATAATTTTTTCAGGATAAGTTCCTGCCATGCCATATTTGCATGTTATCTGGCAACCCTGGGAGGGTCTGGCCATTGCCAGCACTCTTGACTGAAAGACAATACCTTAACCAGCACAGGGTCGTCCCTGACCCTGTTTCCTCTTAGCCTTGACCTTTTTCTGCAGAGGGCCTCAGCGTTCCCATTCCACCCTCCAAGTCCTGAGGAGAGGTCGCTCCCATCTGGACTGCACCATGAGACAGAAAGTGAGACCCTCATCCTGGGGTCCCCCACACTGGTGCAGCCAGATCCTGCAGCCTCAGCCCCACCCTTCGGCTTCTCCCTGGGCCCTGCCCCATCACACACCCTGCTGGCTTCCCCTCACAGCCAGCCAGGACCTGCTCTCCAGCTGTTCCTGGAGCCCCAGCAGCAGCTGCACCCACAACACAGTGGGAGGTAAATGGCCCCTCTGAGCTGCTGCTCTGAGCGAGCTTGCAGCCAGAGTCGGGAGTCCTGCATCTGGGGTCAGGAATCCAAGCCAGGACTGTGAGGAGCTCCTCCGCCACAGTGGGCAGGCGGGAGGGGGGCTGGCGTGGGGTGGGGTGCCGGCTGGCAGTGAAGCAGAGCCCGAGGCTCCAGAAGGGGAGAGGCGGCCAGGGCGGGTGGGTCAGGACAGGGCTGGTGTCCAGTAATGAAGAAAAGCACCAGAAAAAGCACTGAGGGGTGAATGGATAAAAAGAAACCGACATCTGAGAGTGGTGCCCCCTCGCCGCCTGCCTGCCCACTGCCTTGTATCCTGACGGCTCTCCCTGCCTTTACACACAGCCCCCTGCACTCTGTTCCCACAGGGAGGGAGCAGGATCCCTTTTTAACTTTAGCCTAAGAACTCACTCTGCAAAGGAGAAAAAGCAAAGATGTACCCCAAACACCCCGACGCGGGGGCCAGGCAGAGGGCCAGGCCCGGCTGAAGTTGGTCTGGGCTCCTCCTCCCTGGAAGCTGCCTGACCCCACTCAGCAAAGCCTCCCGGAACTCAAACCAGGCCGGACAAAGCAGGATGCAAAGCCCCTGGAGCCATCCCAGCCACTGTCATATAAGGCAAGACTCCAGCCCTCCTGCTCACAGCTGGCCAGGCCTCTGCCTGGCCCTGCCCCCGCCACTCCCAAAGGCCTCCCTAAGACCAGGACACTGGATTAGCACTCAGAGGAGCCCGCAGTGCTGGGAAATTTGGAAATGATTTTTCCAAACATGAAGCAGAGCCGGGGAGTGAAATGCAGGCCTCCCCTCAGCTTCTCCAAGGGGCAGCGTGGCCAGTACCCTGCAGTCCATGGGCCCCTCTGGTGCCCCTGTCCTCACTCCTTCAGAGGGGAACCAGGCCCTGCCAAGGCTCAACTACCCTACAAGGCCATCAGGCATCTGGCCAAAGGCGGGAGCTGCCTTTCCCGCGTCTCTAGGGCAGCTCAGGAAGCAACAACAGTGGCCGGTTCCTCCCGGAAATGCGGCCCAACGCCCAGTGTGCCTGTCCGGGGGTCTGGGCCCCACTTGGCACCGCCACCTCTCATGCCCCTGCCCTCAGCCCTCCGCCTAGAGCCGCCCACCCTACACATGTGCACGTGCTGCCCAGGCAGAACGAGCCAGGTCTGGGCCAAGAGATGAGGGCCACCTCCTCT